CCACCCATGGCAATATCTTGGGTTGCAGTAGCTAGCTGTGTGAAGTTTGTTGTTGTGGTGGTGGTGGTTTTTATGGTTTGGTTTGGTTTGGTTTGGCTATACTTAACTGTCAAAGTGAAGTCTTCCTCAAGTCCTCACTCAGACACATGCTACTAGAATCTTCCTGGCCATAGCCTTGGAGACTCCTGTCCTCTCTGAGCTATTCCCACCCGACACCTGCCTGTTGTGAGCTACAGCGGCATTTCTTCATAAAGTCACTTCTGATCTCTAAGCCAATATGGCTGGAGTTCCTGCTTTCTACACTGAACACACCATGAGCTTCCCACAAGACAGTCAGGAAGTAGTCAGAAGGACCCAAGGGCAGTACGTCCCAGTGCGTCCCAGAGCGAAACCCTGAAGAACTCTGGTGGGAGCTTCAAATGTGTGCTCATATCCCAGGAGCCCCTGAGGTTGAGTTCCCTCCTAGCAGTTGCCTTTATCAGAAAACACAGCAAAGATTTGCCAACCAGAGGCTACCACTGCTGCCATTACTGCGGTTCAGTGTGGCCAGATCCCCAGAATGTTCAAAAGATGCCAGATAAATCTTTGACTAGCCTGTTCAGTTTAAAAGATTGGTCTCTGAATTTTAAAACATTTAATGTGAGATGAGGTAGAGTGTTTTCCTAACATGCACGAAATACTTAGTTCATCCCCATCACCTCACAGAACTGGCTGTGATGTCACACAGCATAATAAAGTCCTCAAGAAGTAGAGGCAGAGGGGGCTGGGAATTTAAAGTCCTCCTCTGCTATTTAGAGTTTAAAACCAACCTGGGCTACAAGAGACCCTATCATTAAAAAAATCAACATAATACAAGTGCCCACATGCATATTTATTACCAGTTATGATCTGAGGCTGGCCATTTATAGATGCTAAGTTTAGTATACACACAAATAGAATAAGGCATTCTTGGGAGAGAACGTGATATTCAAAGGTACAACCATGTGATCCAGCTCACACATCCCAGGATACTCCGAGTTGCCTGGCAGAGTCAGAAGTCATGAAAAGTAGAAGAGGAAGGCAGAGAGGCATCTCAGAAAGGCTCTTGTGCTAAGAAATCCAACCCTGATGTTGAAGCTGGTGGTGCCTGTGAAGGAACTCTAAGGAGCTTACAGGAGAAGAAAAGCTGCTGAGATCTGAATTGTCTCCATGCCCCTCTCCCCCGGGGGGAGAGATGTATATCACAATAATGGGGGACACTAGCACCTCCTCTCATTTGAGGTGATCTAAAATCCGAAGATGATGGGACACATCATCATGGGAGTAGATGGGGGAGTTATGGGCACTGCCCTGCTTTTCAATGAACTAGTCAGGGTTGTCCTTCCCTGGGGGAAAGATCTAGGTGAGGGATCTGTTAGATGTAAGGCATGGGTAGGAAGCAGCCATGATGTTCATTGAGTGCAACAGTAGAAGTGAAGTTGCAAGGAGAATTGGACAATCAAGGTAGGCAGAGGAAGTTGAGGTTAGTTCATGTGCCATGCTAAGGCTGAGCAACCCTAAGGACTCGAAGCAAATGGGGGGGAAAGAAGTTTCGTGGAAAAGCCAGAGGAAGTGTTGCCACAACATGAGGCGGGTCCCTGAGACGCTTCAGAGTCTCACTTGGTTCATGGGCAGTGCATACAATAAAGACTTGGTTACATTCTCTTGACAAAAGCAACTTCAGGGAGGAGTTTATTTCAGCTCACAGTTGAAGGTACCATCTGCCATGACTGGGAAATCAAGTCTGCAGGAGTCTCAGACAGCTGATTACATTACGCCGGTAGTCAAAGGAGACCAATAATATAAACTTCTGCTCAGTTCCTGCTCTCCATTTAGGCAATCCAGAATCCCAGACAGGGAATGATAGCACTCGCCATGAAGAGGTCTTCCTACTTCAATTAATCAAGATAGCCCTTACAGGCACATCCAAAGGCTCTTCACCTAGGTCATTCTAGATTCTGCTGACTTGACAGCACCAGCCATTACACTTGGTTTGTACTACTCAATGAGGAACAAGGCCTCTCTACACAAGGATTCTGTCTTGCACAGTCCCATGAACTATGGACATGTGACATTAAGATGTGTCTTCTATGTGAAGAAAAGAAAATGCACAAAAAATAATCCCCAGCAGCTCTCCCCTGGATAGACCCCAGCTCCACATCTAAGAAGGCCACAGAGCATTAGGAAGCCTAACTCTTTCTCTTCCTTCATGGCTTCTGATGGTACCCTAATGGGTTGCCCTATGGAAAATCAGCTGTCCCAAGAGACTTCTGAAGCTCAGCAAGTAATCACTGGTTTATTCTATTCTGAAGGACAGTGGCCATCACATTCAATAACACTGCAACCAAACATTCACATGGCCTTCTATTTGAAACCTACAAAACCTAACTTACAAAGAGGATATCAAGACCAAGAAAGAGTCAGGGTGTAAGAGCAGAACCCATGGGGAGCTCCAGCTCCAGCCCCCTATGCAATGGTCCCACTGTACCTCTTATCATCTAACAGAAAGACTTCCTGAGTGGTGACCAGCATTACTGCAGGGGAGAGGGAATGGCCATTGTCCGAGGACCAGGCAAGTTCAGAAAGAAACACATCAAACACCAAGAAGAAAAGCACCATTCAAAGTCTTCCCTACCCGGGTGTGCTCCAGAAATTCTGTCATGAAAAGGCAGCAGCTACCGTTAATAGGGATGCTGCTGCGTCTGAATGCAAGGCCATCAAGAAAGGAACAAAAGCAAAAGAAGAAAGCCTGGTGAACATGGAGGTTTTTCAAGTAGCCGCCAGGCAGGTTTGAGAGCAAAGTGTGGCATGACGGACAGGCATTCTGCCCCTCTTTAAAGAGCATGGATTTATCCACACCTTACGACATGAATGAAATGAGTTTTCAGGGCTGTCAACTCTCTGGTTAGGGTTCTGAAGTAGTATGCTTCTTCCTCAATAAAAGAGAGGGGAATGGCAGCCAGGGTTAAGGCAGTAGAAGGACTGGCAATAATGGATGCAAAACAACTGGGTCATAGACTGAGTATGTTTCCAAGCATAGCCTCTAATGACCGAACCACACTTCACCTGATCAGTATGATGCAAGTAGGATGTCTAACTTGAATATTTTCCTCAACTGTCTGCTCAGCTGTCTCACTACTGGTTGGTTGGTTGGTTTTGCTTCCTCTAAATTTGCTTGCACACCTATGACTGCACACTCATTTCTCACCTGCAGCTAATGAAGGGGAGGTACAAGGCACCTTCTCACAGATACATGAAATCTCTCTCACCTCACTTGGGTGACATCATGAAACCTCATGTTCTGGGCTTATTCGCTAGGCGATCTTGGGCAAATCCTGAAGCCCTTTTGAGCTTTGGACATCCTAGCTCTAAAAAACAGTAAGAAATAAGAAAGTGAATGTACCATATTTCTGGTACTGTGCCTGGTATATGGTAAGACTCCACATGTAAGACCATGACTATTTTTAATGGCTCTTGGAGTCTTCATGTCCTTTTAGGCAGAGTTTTGTCTACATGGCCAAGTGGAAGCAAGAACTGTCACCTGAGACAATGAAGACATGACTCTAGGGTGTAAACTTTGGTAGTAGAAAGGAGACTGACAGGGAGAACATGCATACATATACACTCTTTTAACAATGTTTTGTATTTGGAAATGTTGCAAATCTAAATTCTGTAGAAAAAAATAATAGGTTATTCTAAGCAAAATCTGCTTGGGATAAATATAAAGAAAAATTGAAATTTTAAGAATTTCATTTTAAGAGCACTGAAGCATGTCAGGGAGGGATTTTATGCCATTGCAGATAGAACCTTAAGGTGTTAAAAGGGAACAATTAAAATACTGCATCTCTTAGCCAGAGGACCGATGAAGAGTCCTGTGAACTCTAAAACACCCTCTACTTGCAATAATGCTTTGTGTTTCTTCCTGATAGTAAGCTTCCTCCAGGGTGTGCCAATGGATGCATTTTCTAGCGGGGAGAAGGTCTTGTTCAGGGCTTCCCAATGAGTCAGGCAGAGGCTAAGGACCACACCCTGAAAATCCACAATGTTCTATCCTAGAAGAGAGAAGTAGCTACCACTGGCAAGTACTGCTGAAGGCTGAATAAGATGGCATACTGGTCAGTTTTTGTGAACTTGACACAAGCTGGAGTCACCTGGGAAAAGAAACCTCATCAGTGTCTGTGGGCATTTTCTTGATTAATGATTGATGTGGGAGAGCCCTGTCCACATGGGCAAAACCACTCCTTGGTATGTGGTTTGGTCCTAGATTATACATGAAAGCAGGCAGAGCAAGCTACAGGGAGCAAGCCCATAAGCAACACTCTCCCATGGCTTCTGCTTCAGTTCCTGCCTCCAGGTTCCTGCCTTGATCGCCTGCCCTGACTTCCTTTATGGGGGACTATAAACTGTGAGCCAAATAATCACTTTCCTTCCCACCTTGCCTTTGTTCATGGTGTTTATCAGAGCAATAAAATGCAAACTAAGGCAGATAATGACTGAGCAATGCTGTTGCAAGGTGGTCCTACAAGAAACATTTGAATAGAAATAAGGCAGATTGGAGTGGAACAGAGAATGTGGTGGAAAGGAAGAGGCAGCTAATAGAGATGAGACTTTAAGAACATTTGCAAAGTGATGGGAAGAAATATAGGACTGGCAGAGGGGAGCATGGAATTGAAGGCTGTTTAAGATTAAGGCAAGATTAAGTGAATATATGTGTAAATGATAGTGGATGGGTGTAAATGAGCCTGAAGCTTGGATGGTAGTTCAAATCTGGGCTCTTCAGCCAGTTTTTTCTGAGTTCAGATCCCAGGTTCTCACTTACTATGTGGCTCCGATCACATTTTTACATTCTCTGTGCCTCCACTTCCTCTTCTGTAGAAATGGATGTTTGTTCTTCCCTCAAGGACTGTAGTGAAGTAAGGTAAGGTTCATGGAACTGAGCCTGACTTACAACAGCTCTATAATAAGTATCAAATTATGCAGCTAGTGGGAATTGTTGAGTTTGTGGGAGACAGAAGACAGGGTGGAAGGAGAGCCTCAAGGCAGACGGGATGTGGTTCAGAGGCACTGGCTTTGAATGAGGAGACAGCTGGTTCCTCTCTTGTAACATGAGAAAGGTGGGAGGCTGAGTTCTCCTATTAATGAATATTAATTGAACCCTGGAGGCAATGTGTCCAACACCACGAGATGGGGGGGGGTGGCAAAATTAAGGCAGACATGCTTCCATCATGGAGCTAACCCTGTAGTGGAAGACGGTACCTTTACTAAGTGAGTGTGGTGGTTAAAACTTGGAAGTGATGGAGAGTGAGGAGAACCACTATGACACAGTACAGGGCAAAGTGGATGCTATTTTAAATGATGGCCAGGAAAGGCCTTGCTACACAGATGACATTTACACAAAGATCTGAAAAGGGAAAGTGTTCTGTGGGGATCTCCCTGGAGCAAACATCCCACAGCTAACACAAAGCCCAGACCCGGAGCATGTCTGGTGGATGCATGGCATATGTCTGAGTTCTCCATCCTTCCTCCCAAGCTCTGCTCTAGGAAGCTGAGCCTTCTCTGGAGGAAGAACGACACTTGCAACTGTTTTGTCTCATCTCTTCATCCCCCAAGTCTCTCCTAGAACACAATGGGTATGCAGGAAGTATGCTTCCTATGGAAATACCGGCATGAGCAGGACCCCAGACCTATGTTTGACCATGGTCTATGGCAAGGGCACCGGAACTGACGGTAGAGAGCATGGTGCTGTGAATGGGCTAGAACAGGATAGCAGGGTGGAAGGGCCTTACTTGTAGGAAATAGGAATATATAAAGTCAGAAAAGGCTTTGTAGCCATGAGCACTGTTGGTTGTTCCTGTCGCTGTGACTAAATACATGACAAAAGCAACTTGAGGAAGATAGGGTTTATGTTGGCTCACAGTTGGAGGGATACAGCCCTTCATGATGGAGACTGCTTGGGAGCAGGGACAGGAGGCAGCTGGTCACATTGTCTTCCCTGTCACCAAACAACAAGCAGACTGTAAAACCTCAAAGCCCTCCTCCCAGTAACCCACTTCCTCCCAAAAGGCTCTACCTCCCAAAGGTGCCACGCCTTCCATAACAGTGTCACCATTTGGGGACCACATGATAGAACACACAAACCCACAGAAGACACTTCGTAGTCAAACAATACCTTACATTTACAAGTTACTGGAGCTTGAGAGATGGCCCACTGGTTAAGAGCACCTCTGGTCCTTATAGAGGCTCAGAGTTTGGTTCCCAGCACTCACAGTAGGTGACCCACAGCCTATCACTCCAGCTCCTAGGGATCCAATGACCTCTTCTGGCCTGAGTGGATACATGCATGTTCACGTGCATACTAGCACACACTTACACATAAGTAAAAATTAAATGTTTTTTTATATGCCTTTTCAACTAGCTTTTCACTAGTCCCAGCTCATTTATTAGCATAGATGTACACAACTTGGAGTTTTAAGTGCTTTGTTACCTGGGTCTTTCAACCATAGGGATTTTAGAATGCAGCATTATTTTAGATAGCTATATATAAAGTCAGTCTTCTTTAACAATTTGGAGGCCAAGTCCCACATGAATTGGTAACCCCCGTGTATGCATCTTCTCAGGTCCATGCCTCTATTCATTCACTCTGAAAGCATCTGGCTTGACTGGTAAATCATATTGCCTCCCCCTGATTAGAGGTAAGAAGGAAGAAGGGCCCGGAATAAGCCTGGTGTGACATGCTGGCATCCAAGAGGCTTGTTTACTTGCATTTTGATGAGCAGAAGCCTATAAGTACTTTTATATGAAGTCTAGGGAAATTGGATGGAACATAAACAAAGCTCTAGGTTCTCAGGGATGTTTTCTCAACTTAAGCAGAGGGGAAAGCCGTGAGTGAGCTAGTACCTTTTTGTACAGCAAGGGAAGCTGATTGACAAGAAAAAAGTTGGCAGAAATCAAAGCGAATGTATAAATCAAATTAAGCTAGTATTTAAAATAGGACGGAGGATAACAAGGGAAGTGCTGAGAAGTAGAGGAGGAGAGCTCAAGGGCACAGAAAACAGACAGCCATTAGCTGAGTTAACCTTTGGTTTCAGCCATACTCTTGGAAGCCCCAGTGCCAGAGACCTCAACTGTTACAGAAGCAACGCTGTCAAGGCTGACACCTATACACATCTCCAACTTTTCTGTGTCCCATGGAGCCTTCATATCTGTGGGGCTTAAGCCCTCTATAAGAATAAGTCTTGCTGTATAAAAAAGGAATCTGGGATACTGGTGAGTACATTGTAAAGCTGTTAGGCCTGACCTGTGAACCAGTAATGAGAAAAACTGTCAATCTGCATGGGTGACACCAAGAACAAATTGTGTTACTTCCTGTGAAATTCAAGCCATTAGGAAAAATGTCTCATGCTGTCGCTCTACATCCTGAAATGGTCACTGACCAATTCCAGTGTGACTGTGATGGCACCACGCTGGTGATGAGCTAACCTCGCTGGAGTTTATGACCTATGCTAGATCTGTGAATGCCACATAGAAGCATAGGAAGTCCTAAGGGGCAATGTGGCAATGATGTCTCCTAGACGATAAGGAACATCATGCATCTGAAAATAGGGGTCATCAACATTCTATAGCTAGCAGGTCATATCTGGCCAGCTCCCTGGTACCAATTTCTGTCTTAGTCACTATTCTATTGATTGAAGAGACACCATAAACAAGGCAACTCTCACAAAAGAAAGGATTTAATTGGGGGCTTGCTTACAGTTTCAGAGATTAGTCTATCACCATTGTGGCAGTCCATAGGCAGACATGGTTCTGAAGACATAGGTGAGAATTCCATATCTGGATCCTCAGGCACTAGGAAAATAGGAAGCCACTGGGTCTGGATTGGGCTTTTGAAACCTCAAAACCCACCCCCAGTAACACACTTCTTCTAACAAGGCCACACCTAC